AACGCGCGGCGGCGGCCTGGCCTGGCCTGGCCTGGTGAGGCCGGGTCGGGTCCTGACGGCCGGGTTTTCCTCCGCAGGTCACTCAGATCCTCGGGGACTCCTTTCCCTACACGCTGGTGGCGAAGAAAATTGACCGTAAGTTGGCGGCGGGGCCGGGGGGAGGCAGCGGCGCGGCCCGGTCCGGCCGTCTACCTCAGCGCCGGCCTTTGTTGTCCCCAGTGCCGGAGTACCAGGGGGAGCCGGACGAGATCTCCGTGCAGAAGTGCCGCGAAGCCGCCCGGCAGGTCGTTTGCTTTGTCTTTCCCCTTTCCCGCCGGTCGGAGCGGTGGTGTGGGTGCGGGAGTTGTGGGGGAACCCAGTCCCGGCGGGGGGAGGCAGCCGGGGGCATTGGGGCATCCGGACCGGTCCTGAGGAAAGTCGGGGACACGTCCAGGCCTGGCTTGGCCTTGCTGCACTCCCATCAGCCGGCTGTTCCTGGCCTACGCTGGGTGATGGTGGATTCTTGCTGGTGACACAGTGTTTAGGCAGTCCTGCTGCTGCTCCTCTGGCCTCCTGTGTCCCTCGAGCAGCAGGAGGACATGACAGCTCCTTCAGTCCAGCCCCAGCAGCTGCAGGACACCGAGTTTGCTGTCAGCTGGAACTTCTGATGGATCAGCTTCCAGAGCTGTCTCTGGGATGGGTGTCTTAAAAGAACCAAGTGAGGGTTGGGACTCAAGGAAAATGCAGGTGTGCCTCCAGGACACAGGCTTTCCCATTCCTGTCCCCCAGGAGGGCAGGAGGTGTTCAGCTCTGCTCATTTTTCTCCATGTGAGATCTTCCCTACAGTTTTTCAGCCACTCTGGCATGCCTGGGGAGAGCATGGGTTTGATTGTGTCTGTCTGGTGTGGATTGCCTTTGAGGTAAAGAGCTCTAATGGCTGGTGAATTTTTGTGAAGTTCCTGTTATTGTGGAAATGTGAGAATAAGATAGAGCAAGAAAATGGGTTTGGAGGCAGTGCTTTCCTCTAGGTCTAATGTTTCCATCTCTTGGGCTTTTGCTGTAGATTCAAGGACCTGTTATAGTAGAGGATACCTGCTTGTGCTTCAATGCCCTGGGGGGGCTTCCAGGACCCTACATGTAAGTAGGAGTGAACTTGCTTCACCTTTCATGTTCCTGAGTTAGGCACGCAGGCTGGCAGGGTGTGCTTCATGGGGAATTCTCCAGGCACCAGGAGCAATAGGCTCAGGGACGTGATCACTGGTCTGTGTCCTCAGCTTCATCCTGCACCCCAGGACTCCTTGAGTCCTGCTGTAAGTCATGGTGCAGGATGAGAGAGACAGACCTGAACTGTTGGCTCTGGCTCCCGATACACGGTACACGGTACCTGCTCTTGCAGCCAACTTGGGAACCTGGCCCCACAGTGGGCTCTGCGTAGTTAAGGCACCGTGCGTTTCAGCAGGATGCTTGGATGAGTGTCCTATAGGTTCTCATAGGGACTGCTTTAATGCAGCCAATAAGAAGATTATTACATTACAGTGTAACTCCTCTAATAAAACACTGCCTTAGTTCCTGGAATTAACTTTTAGTGCGATTAATTCTTCCAAACTATCTCTGCTGAGCTAAGTAGAGACATAAAAGCTTTATATGATGAAATTGACACTAGAACTGGATGTAACTTGTGACTGAGTTGAGTTGAGAAATGTATTTCGGCACGTCAGTGCTCATGAGTAAGAACTGGGTTATTCACATAGATTCCAGTTCTGCACTAAATTAAATACCCCACTGCTGTTATCACTGTGTCCCATTCAGTTTAAGAGCCAAGTCTGTCGTTATTGGTGAATAGTTCAGAAGTGATTTGACAGCACATTTAAGAGGGATTCAGAGGGCTATGAAAATGTAGGCAACAATGCCTCAAGGATGCCCGTATTTCTGAGTAATAATCTTGCCTCTCTTTTTCCCCTTCAGAAAATGGTTCCTGGAAAAACTCAAACCAGAAGGTACTGCCTCCCGTGTTACTGCTCTGCACGTAACTCGTAATTCAGTCCTTTCCAAATGAAATGGATCCCTGCCCGTGCTGGGTTCTGCTGAGCATGCTTGCCTACCACGCTGCCCATTTCATAGCTGGTCCCTTTCCTGTCTGTCCAGCTCTGTCCCTTTGCGTTCTCTCCTTGAGCCTGTTCCATGCCCTTCTTCACGGGGTGTTGTTTCTCCGGTAGCTTCAGCATCGTCCCTGGATTCCCAGACTCCTGCCTCTGCAGGCTGGTGGCAGGGCTCATGGGAACTTCTTGTTTGTCATCAGTGTGACATGGAAGACCTGCTGTTGCCTTTGCCTTCTGTGCACGCCCCTCTCCACTAATGCTCACCTCCCCTGCTTTGCAGCGACTGCCTTTGATCCCACTGTTAAGAGCATGACTGCAAATGCTGCACTGGCATCGCAAGCATGAGTGTTAATCACGCTAATTCAGAGTGGCCTTTAGTCCTCTTTGGTGCCGCACATCCATTGCTTCTCCTCCCAAATTAATAGCGGGGTCCTGCAGATCACTCTGTGTTAGATCTGTGGTGCTGGTTTCAGTGATACGGGGGACCAGGCCAAGAGCATCCCTGTGCCTGAGCTTTGTCACCTCCTGTAGTTCTTCCTCTCCTTTGTGGATGTGAGTGCAGGATGTTCCCTCGATCCGTCTCTAGGTGGGTGTGTTTCGCTCCGAGGGAAAGGCAGTAACACCAGGATCCTTTCTGTGTCGCTCAGGCCTGTACAAGCTGCTGGCTGGGTTTGAAGACAAATCTGCCTACGCTCTCTGTACCTTTGCATTCAGTACTGGAAACCCAGAGGAGCCGGTGAAGCTGTTCAAAGGCCAGACTCATGTAGGTGTTGTGCCTGGGGAAGGGAACATGCTGAGGGAGGAGGGCTGTAATGTGAATTCCGTAACAGCGTTGGCTCTGTTGAGGACAATTTTAGTGGCCCCTGGGTCACTGAACGCCCTCAGAGCTTCTGTGTGAGGAAGACCGCAGCCGGCGGGCGCTGAGTGCTGCAGCCCTTTCACCCACCTGTACATGCCAAACTCCACATGTTACCTCCATCTCTTCGGCCCCCTCATCTCCCTCTGGCAGGATGGTATTTGAGTGCAGTTGTCAGCTCTGTTAATTGAGTGGGGGTAGAGGGGCTGTCAACACGGCAGTGTGATGGAGCACTGAGTTTGGGGCTGCTAATTTCGGTTGCATCCTGGGAATGAGGACAGCACCACGCAGCGAGCCTGTGGTGGCCACAGCGTGAGCTATGGCTGCGTGTAGCTCTTCAATCTGTCTTTGAAATGCAACTGTGAGGGACATGCTGCGAAACCACAGCTTATGGGGCTTTTTTGCTTTCTTGTGGCAGGGGCTGATAGTGGAGCCCAGAGGCCCTCGAGATTTTGGCTGGGATCCCTGCTTTCAGCCAGATGGCTACAGCCAAACGTAAGTGGCATTTTACCTACAGCTCGTTATGTGAGGAAAGCCAAGGTTGAGGTTGCGCGTCATGAGGAACCTGCTTATGAGGAAGGGTGGCAGGGAGAAAACGCCCTCCTGGATCTGAACGTGGTGGGTTATGGGGAACCCCTGGGCCAGGGTGGGGGTCGTTGGCTTTGCCAGTGTGTTGCTACAGATGCCCCGCTGCAGGCGATCAGGGGGACAGCTCTTGGGGACTGGGGGGGGACGCGTGCTGTAGTGTCTCTGCTGCTAAGACTTGCGCTTTCTCTCCCCTCCAGCTACGCCGAACTGCCCAAGGCAGTGAAGAACTCGATCTCGCACCGTTACCGAGCACTGAGCGAGCTCTCTGCCTTCTTTCTTCAGAGCAACTCGACAGAGCCCCGCTCTGATCCCAGCTAGCCCCCCCCCAGGCTGCCAGCCCCCTGGTTTGTCCGTGTCGCACCCAGCCCCGGGGTTGCTCTGCTCCGCTGCGGGCTGCCATTAAAGCTGCTCCTTTCGAAGCCACTGGTCCCTTTTTTCCCCCCTTCTGCTCTTGTCGCTTCAGAAGCGCGACGCACCCCAGCAGGTCTGGGTTGTTTAGGCA